GAGAGCTGTGACTTTCACTGGTAGATTTCTGGTTCCCACTGCTGCAGGTTCCTGAGAAACAACTGCTGCTGGAATTATAAAAATAACAGAATATTCAGATGCACAGAAAGGAGACTTAATTTTTACATTTCCACACATAGGAAAGGGCTGTGATGTCTCTCTTGCACAGAAGTACAAGATCATTTTGCTTCCCATTCCTTTTGAGAAAAATTACCATCATCATTCAACAAAATACAACCCAGACTTAGAAAATTTCAAAGGTCTTTTTCCCTCTCTGAAATTCTTAAGTTTGCAAGTATCTGCATGACCATATTTAACTCAAAAAGGGGAAATCCATACACACAGATTACACTTAAACATACCTCGTCAGTGTAGCTCTTCCTCTCCCCTTAGCACAGATTGTTTGTGAAGGTCCTGAACTCTGCCTCCTTCTTGATCTACTGGGAAAAAATTCTTCCTCTTCAAGAACTACCACAGTCACAGAAATGCAAGTTCTCTTCCAAGAAAACTTCAAGGTTGCTATTCTCAATCTAGTGGAAACAAAGGCAGCTGACACACTGCTGGATCCATCCTGAGATAAGACTCAGATGAGAGCAGACAAGAATCTCCAAAGCAGGGATAGAAAAGTTCTGAAACTACTTCAAAGTCAAAAGAAAATAAAGAAAAACCCCAAAACACATCTCAGAACTTTGTTACACAAACACCACGGGTGATAGCTGACTGATGGCAGGAAAAAAATAGGGTGTGTCATCAACCACTACCAATGACCAATACTGGTGCCAAACCTCTAGAGCTGTGAAGATAAAAGACTGGAAGGACACGGGGTTTGCAGACTGCCAGGACTTCAGCTGTGTTCATGAAACACACGCCTAATACTGACCTCAAGAAGCCCACAGTGATCAGAACAGAATTTTGGGGCAAGCCAGGTGTGCTCGATATTAGCGTGATGTTAATACCTAGGGAAAGCAAGACACTTTCTAATGAACTTTTTGTCACTGCTGTGCAGCTCAAATGCTCTGTCCTTTGCTATGCAAAACCTTCTTGCCTATTTCTCAGCTACTGCTTCCATGGAAGGTAATCTTTTTGATAACTCTGCATTCCGCCTCCCCTTCCACCCCCCACCCCAAATCTAAAACATCTTTGACGGTTACTCCTCCTTCCCATGCCTGTATCTGAAAATGCCACGAACTGCCAGAAGTATTGTTGCAGCTGAGCTTTGCTTGTGCAAGACCCGGCAATGAGGGAAAAAGCGGGTACAAATTACACTTGTGTTTCTTTGGTCCTAGGATGAGCTACCAGCAGCGCAAAGGCAGTAATGGCAGCAACAGGTCCCTGAGAGGTTGTGGCGGGCAAGCTACAAGACCCCACATGGTGTGAAAACCCACTTCTAGCTATAGTATCTAGAGGTATTGCAGGTATTGTGATAGAAACAGTTGCACCTGCTTTCTGGCTATGCTGCACGGCCAGAGCAGTGGACGTGAGCTGAACTGACTCCAGGATCTAACACAAAACTCTGTTCATTATTCCCAAACATTTAACATAATGGGGAAATTAATCCTACTTGTCTGAAGTAAGCGTAGTAAAACAAAGAACTAATGCTACTAAGCGAAAATTGTGTTATTCTGTGATAAGTTCTCTGCTTAGCACCATTCAGAGGTAGTGCGCATATTCAGCATTACTAAGAAAATGTAAACAAGACAATTTGAACATTGCTTTGCAGACTCAGGTCCATTTTCTGGAAAAAAAAATAAAAAATCAGCGTATAGCTGTGCACTTAGCTGGCATGTCCAGTTACTGAAACGGAGCTGCCCACGTTTGGACAGAGTTTCTTGATGGTCCTCATTTTTAATTGTCTTTTGACATCCAGACCTAATCTCTAATCAGATTTATCTTTGGCCTCAAGATCCAAGATTTCTGCAATCAAACAAATTAAGTGCTTTTACTAACATCCCCAGTTCTGCAGAGAATCAAGGTCTACAACAGTTTTCCATTTCTCTCTCCATACAGTATCTCTGAAAAAGGTTTTGATTTTGACTTTTGAATGCAGTATTCACACAGTGCTGTTTAGGAAGCCACTTCAGTACAAAATACAAAAGATCATAGAACAAATTGAGGTTCATCCTCTTATTGAAGGTAAACATGAAGTTAATCCCCATCTGGTAGAAGAGTGAGTAGAAATCAGAAACCTTTCACAACTGACAACTGAAAAGACACATCCCAAAATATTAATCTTTAATTGACGCATTGTTCATTCTTGCAGGGTTTTCTTTAAAGGAATTATCCTGGGAATGTCACCGATAGCATTAAACAATACTTATTTGTGTTACATCTGGTTTAGCCCTTTATTTATTTAATTTTACCTGAAAATGTATTTTCTTAGAGACCTTATAATAGCATTTCCGCATTATCAGTTCATTTTGTTCTCCTCTTTCCTGGATATATTAGCCAGGAAAAGGAATTCCCAGTCTGTAACAGGCAGATCAATTCACATGTTTTACTTTGTCCACATAGAAAAATGCAATTTCAGGATCATTGAGGCATATGGACTATGAACAAGACACTCCAAAAACTAACTATCCAGACAGGGATATACTTACAAAAATCTTTTATGTCAAAGTCAGGATTTCACAACATAACACGCTAATGAAAAATCCAGTAGCACCTGAAAGATTAAGGTAGCTGCTGCTATCACTTGCACATACTTGAAAAAGATTTCAGAAAAAAATAAAGAGTAAAAGTACATTCTCCAGAGAACAGCAAGTGTATTTCAAAATAAAAAAATGTATTTTTATTTTTTTAATTTTTTTTTTATTTTTTTGTTGAGTATTTCTGTTAGGTATTTTGGTAATTCTTTTTGCCTTTTTTTTTTTACAAGACTGTAGTTGCCATGTAACAACTTACACACGACATGTCTGCTCTCCCCTCCAGTGCAAGTTCATGGTCATGTTTTCATGCTATAGTACTCAACACTTTTCTCATATACATTTTCCCATAGTTTCATCAAAGATAGATACAATGCATAATGCCTGTCTCTGAGAAAGTAATGTTTCCAATAGGCAAACTTTTACCTTAAAACAGAAGTGGAGAGTCTACAGTAGTTATAGCCACCTAAGTATGAACTTTAGGTCACAATTTCTACACACTCACCCACTGTACATAAACATTAAAAACAGTGTTAGCAATAGGATTTTATTTCTATGTGCACGTATATCCACCTTATCCCATATTTATGTTTGGCAACTATTTGGGAATTCAAAGGTGCAGCCCTCAGTAATTGTATTATTTTAAAAAAAAGAAATGAAGCATCTCTATGAGAAAAGAAATTCTCAAATATCAATTTCCAATTTTAAATTTAATTTCAATAGGAAAATATTAAAAATGTGCACATCTAAATTTTTCCATGTTCTGTATATACATATGTGTGTGTACGTATACATAGAAATACTCATGTACCACACATATCACAAAATTTAAGTGGAAATATTTCTGTCCACTATTTTCTTACATGTAAATGACATAGTATCTTTAAAAATGTCAATAATAATATCATTAAAAATAATATTACATTTATTCCATCATCAGCTTCCTGTGTTTTTATTCTTTCTTCATCCTTATTAAGTCCACTGAGCATTAACAGGCAAGATTCTCCTTGCACTTCCACAGATGTTATGGCAACTGAGTGTTGCTGGCATCACATCAAGGATACATCTGGTTTACAGCAGCTGAAGTGACAAGAGAATCAGGCCCAAACATCCCCAAGTAAATGAAAAATTGGTCATATTTGCTCATCTGGACCTGATGAAGATATATACACCACAGTCTAAAATCAACAGAATGAAAAGCAGGTAGCTCACCACAAAGTTTTCAACCAGCAGCACGCTGAACCAAGCTCCCCCCGCCCCCCCACCCTTTAATAAATAAAATAAGTGAGAAAATACCCTAAAAATATGGAGAAAACTTAAACATTGTATACATTACATACGGTATAATACAAGACGGTTTAGCATTTGACCTAAACCATTTTCCTGACTAGTCAGAGGAGACCTGATAAATCACTGGTAAAGAAAAAAGAAAGGTATTTTAGAAACAAAGCATGTATTTCTAGTATAAATGAAAACCTGTGTGTATTATATGGTATGTACACACAGTACACCCATGAAAACAAACTCATCTTTTCTAGCTTTGAATAGCAGTCTCTAAGTGGAGAAAATTGTATTGTACAAATTTAATAAGCAGCTAGAGTTCATGTTTAACATTCAAATTAATCTGGGGAGCAAACAAAGGTCCGTGCATCTTTAGACTCTGAAGTCGGACACTCATTCATACATTTTAAAAAAGCCCTCTTCAATATTACAAGCAATTTATGGCAAGAATGTACTTTGATGCAAGACGCAAGACACATGACACTTGGCTTACCTTTCAAAGAGGTTTTTTTTTTAAATAAATCTATTATATAAAGAAATGTGTGTTTGCCAAAAGTCTGTTAAAATTACATCAAAACAACTTTAAAACCTGCTCACTGAGGATAATTGAATTAAATTTCCTGTTTTTAAACATTGAGTTAACAGTTCAGAATATTGCCTGGTGTAGTTTCAATAAAGATGTGATATGAAGACCCATAAAAGAGTAAACATGTCTCCATTTCAATTCGCTATGACAACAGAACTTCCTAGAAACAGCTTTCTTGGCTGGACAAGTTCGGTATACGAGTAATCCCTTACAAAGCTCTATGCCCTTAATGCAATCTGTAGTAAAACAGTGCTCCCTGTAAGCCATTATTCACAAAACCTGAAATTCATGTGACATTCTGAAAAAGTCTCCTGCAGAACAGGTTAATAGTTAATTGAACGTACATATTTGATATATGTATCAAGGCCAGAAAACAAACGACTGGCTATTCCTTGTTACCTGTGCATGTCAAATTTTACATTTAAAATTCTCAGGGTTCTTTTTGCCTTTTTTTTATTTTTTTTTTTTCTGGGAGACTCACCTTCCATCATTGGTTGGCTTCAAAATATTATTACGTGGAAGATAGTATCTCACTGTAATTACATGGAATTCATATGAAAAAGTAAACCTTACATTGGACAATATTGTAGAACACCAGAGTAAGCTCCATAAAGAAATACGGTATCTTCCATTATATATATATATATAAAACCAAAAAAGCAAGCAAGCAACCAACCAACCAAAAAATCCCCAAAAGGAAGAACTTTATACAAGCAGTTATGGTAACTTTGTTTCAATTAAAGATGCAACTCTCTCTCACTCCTGGCAAGAATAAATTGGTAACAGCACTGCTGCTCCACAGTGCAAAGTATCCTGAGAAATTATGAAGAATAACAGAATACAGGGCTGTCATCACGAAGTTCTTGCACAAAACACAGCAATTAAATATAATAAATAAATAAAACAGCCGATAACCTATATTGTGTCTATTACAAAAAGGGGATGTGACCTGGGACACTGCTAATTCTTCCATTATTGATACTTAGAAAAGGATTGCATTCAATTACTGTTAATATCTTTCAAGTTATCTATGGCCAATAATGTACAAGGAGGTAATTTATAATTCAAGTTTTTTTGTTTGTTGTTTTTTTCTTCAACTAGCTACAAGTTGCGTTCTAAATTTTACATTGAAGTATGACTCAAATTTAAAACAAGCCCTCTCAGAGGAGCATTTTCTAATTTTGTGCAACTTTGATGCAGAGCCCAACACAGTCCTATGAAGAGAGACAGTGCATCTTTAAGCTGATTGGCACTGAAATCCCATTTTCTTTAGCTGCATTCTATTAGCTTGGCCAAGTTATCTCGTAACTCTGTTAGTTCAAATATTTTTCCATCAAGAATTTCTAAAAGTGTCTTCAAGTTATTGCGAAAAGCTTCTTGCTCATTCTGACTTTTCTCCAGACGTTGCTCTAGATCAGACAGCTGGCCTTCCAGGTCTTTGTTTCGAATTTCTACTTCCTTCAGAGAAAATACATAAAATGTTAATGTGTTGTCTGCAAACAGAAAGCAGTCTAACCTCCTGCTCGTATTAGTCTGCTATTTTTGTCAACTTTTTTAAAAACAATTTGTGACCCTTTAAAGTTTCCACTAAGCCAAACCAGACCCCGAATTGTTATTGCGCTTTCAGTATCTGAAGGACAGAAACTTTTGGAGCGGGATAAAATTTCGACAGTGAACAATGGATCTGATATACTTACTCAGGTAAGTTACTGCTTCTATCATTCAGAAATACGCCACGTACTGAAAACAGCTCCTCAAATGTTTACTTGAGTTCAAGTATTCCCGGATTTAGGCTACATGAATTGCTCAAGGACACAGTCCCCATTAAGAGGTCTCATACAGAAACTTATCCAGAACACTGCTTTATGGATGGAGGAATACTGCCTTACGCCTGTCCCACATTATAGGCCTTTTCACCCTGAAAACTAAGGCAGAAACATAAACTACCAAGACTGATGTCAAGGTGGCATTGATTTTCACAAATTCACACCAGTGAGTGCAAGCTGAGTGTCCTGTCTTGCTGCACGGTGCCCGGAGGAGCTGCCTGCCAGCCCTGGAGCAGCACAGCCGTGGGAGTGCGAGCCACCAGCGCTGGGTGGACAGGCCATCTGGGCGGAAAGACGAAGCAGTGGCATGTAACACCCAGGGATCTGACCCTGAGCAAGCTCGGGTCTGGTTCAGGAGGAAGAAAAGTCCCCTCATGCCAGCTCGCTGGGACCCCTCGGAGCTCTGGCTTGCGCCTGCCAAAAGCGAGGTCACGGCTGCTCGGCTTTGGGCAAATCAAGCACCCTCTCTTCTGTCAAATTACTTATGTAGGAGTCCCATGGGTCTGGAATAGCATTCATGGCATGTCTTGGAAATTCATGCTGAATTTTGTCATTTCAGTTGTGAAAAACACTTTCAAAGGCAGCAAAGGGACAGTGTATTCGGTACACCATACACTCTGTTCAGCCACTCACTGGAAAAGTGCATAGTGAATTTGTATTTACACACATTAACATTTTTCTAACACCGCTTCCCTTTACAGTGGCTTTGTCTCACAGAGCTTTAATGGGCCTGTGCTGAGTTTTTACCACAATTAGTTTCACACAGCCGTAGGGAAGGCGATTTGTCAGCAGCCACTGCTCCCAGCACAATGACTCCTCTTTCTGCCCTCACACCCTCCCACGTGTTTTTTTTTTTTTTAATGTTTCTTCTGTCTCCCTCAAAGCTAACAAATATAATCCTGTTTCAATTGGAGAGATCTCAGCTAACCGTAAGAAACAAGCTGACCCATACAGAATAACATGTATTTGGGCAGTCAAGAGTAACAGGTATAAAACAGCAGACTTGTGGCAAAGTCTGTGGCCTAAGGCATGTTTCCACCCTTTACGGGTCTGATAGTAGTGTCGATCGGCTGCTGCATCCCTGGCCAGAGGAGGGTGATGCAGCCAGTGTTTGGCCAGGGGAGGGATGGGGTAACGCAGCCAGTGTTCAGTGTCGGCTCCCAGACTCCCTCCGCAGCAGAGGTGCAGGTGGAGAAGGCAGAGCCTCGGGAACCTGATCGCCTTGTCACTGTAGCTGCTTGTGCAGCCAAGGGTTATGTCCAAGCTGAACTGGAAAACCTCCCTTACTTCTTTTTTGTAAACAGGCAAGTTAAAATTACAGAGTTTTGGGCACTGGTCTTGAACAGCACAGCTGAGACCAGGAATTAGCCCTTGCTGCCAGGACCAAGAGAAGAACTAGTTCCATCTGTTTAACACCAAACAATATAGTTGCCAAAGCAACAAAGGAAGCTAACTGAAAAGAGTTATTTGTAGAAACCATATAAATCAGAATACATACATACTTATGTAGCGATTAGCTACCCCACCGCTGCTGTAAATGAACAAGTTAACTGATTATAACCCAGCCATACCCTCTGAAGGCTCTCCTTCATTGAGCCTACTCCTGCCCTCCAAACTGAGTACTGACAAGTGCTACCTGGTGTAGAGACTGCATGGGTTCAATACCCCCTGAGGCCAAGTGACTGCAGTACAGGAAACAAAGGGAAATTCAAGGTCCTCTCAGCTCTGCAGGAATGACACAGTTCCTTCTTTAGCTCACACAGAACCCAGTGCTGTTCTTCCATGTTTACTCCTTCATCCTGCTTCTGTCACTGCTCCTCTTCTACTCACCAAATGTGTGTGCTCTAGGAAGTCTCCTAGCCACTGCTTTTACCCCAGAGATAATTAATTTCTGTAAGTGGGCAAGCCAGTGAAGAAAGAGACCCCTTTAGAACAAATCCATGGATACACATATGGTTTTATTTCATTACATCTGGGCCTGAAGAACATCCCATTGGCCTGTATTTAGCACTGAAGATCATCTTTCAGGCCCTCCTCAGATGCTCTTAAACTGAGGAATTGTTCAGCTGTGAGCTGTTAGGGTGGGTGCGCCCAGGTAGAACTGAAAGCTTTACATTAGATGTAGAAACTTCAATCCATATTCAGCAAAAAGGTAACTCTCCATTGCTAGTCCTTGCCCTGTATCTCTTCAAATCAGAAGAGCTCCCTTCTTTTGTTTAAACTTCCAGCTTGCATATTTTATTTATATTCCATTCTTGACATCTCTTTCCTAATCCATACACACCTAGCTTCCCAAACATTTCCTCTGATATACTTTCTCCTATACTTCCTCCTGTTTTATTTCCCCTAATTTATGCTTAACGTATTTAGTGATGTATAGGAAGTAGAACTAACTGAAACACACCAGGAGCTGTTGCTTTTAATTTCTGGAAAATGTTTCTTCACAAATTCTGTATTTGATCTGTACACATATTTACCCTAGATTAGTATTCATTATTTTTGCAGTAGTATTGCATTACAAGTTCTTATCCAGCTCATGTACAGCTTCCTACTACAAATGAGTCTAGCCCAAAACTTTTGGTTCTTGATGGCAAGAAATGGAGAGGTGTCCACATAATGTAATCTATTGCCCTAGCTGTGTCATTTCACTTTATTTGCAGTTGATCTCATCTAACAATAAACTGACTCTTCTGATACATTCAGGCCTTTTGCAAGATGTATTTTACACTGCTTTTTCAAGCTCTTCTTACAGCAGGCACAATAATTTCTCATGCATTGTTTTCTTTTAAAAAATAAATAAATAATTAACAAGTTATGTTTGTTGTTTGCACTGTGATAATCTTTTGTGGAATTCAGTGCAAGGATCTGAATAAAATATTCAACCCATACACAACAGCTATATTTAAGAATCAGCCATAGTAACAAAGATATCCTGACTTATTGTGAGAGTCACATTGATCATGACTCATTGATATGTCTTCTCTACATTGCTAATAAAATTATTAAGGAACAAGGGCCCCAGTACTTACCCTTCACAGTGATAACATATTGCTCTTCACTGGAATTTGCCCATGATGGATTTCTAATTCATTTCCTGATACAAGTGTGTCAGAAATGCAATACACCTTGAAATAGTAATTTTTTTGTATAGCATTTTTCACACAGGCTATATTCCAAAATATTTTAGAGTTACATAATCCATTTGCAAGCACAAGAGGGGGAAAAAATAAAGCAGAAGGAAAAAGAGCGAGATGAACAGATAAGGACCTTGGAGACAACCACCCTGAAAACAGATAAGTCAACTACGTGTAGAGATGGGAGATGTTAGTCCAGAGCTACGGAAGGAAACACCATCTCACTGATGTCACCTTTGTAGGGTGAAGTGGCTCAGAGAAGGCTGGTATAATCAAAGCAGGACAATTACAGCACAGCAAAGACTCAAGATCTTTTAGATGGGCTGCATCAGGTCAGAAATAAGCTTTAAGCTTAAGAAAGGCAACTTTTAACTCAGATCCTAAGTGAGCTTTAAATTTACTTGAACAGAAGTTAAAGAGTTAGTTATTTTCGGAAACTTATCGCCTACAATGTGATGTATGGACTTATATACACAATATGTCCATTTGGTTACTAAAGATATAAATATACCAAAAGGAAGCTACTGAATTTATATATAGAGTACAAATTCTAACAAAAATTCAGCATTTTCTAATCGTTCATCCTACCAGTCTCTTGTAATTCAGCTTGCTAAGGATACCTAATTCCTGGCTCAATACTACTTTTCATGCAATCTTACACTGAAATTACTGCATATGCTATTGCTAGAACAATTTACAACTTTCAACTCCCTTTTGAGTCTCTCAGATAAGCTGCTTTTCAGATTAAAACTCCTATTTTGAGGCTAAAGCCAGTGACAATTTTTGGAATAGTGGAACAGGCAAGCTCAGGTGTACTCAGAACAATCTTTAAAGGTTGTTTAAAGTGATAACATACTTTTTCCAAATAATTTGACTTAAGGATGAGGAAAAATGAATAAACTCATTTGGTAGCCAACTACATCCCAGGCTGCATCAAAAGAAGCAGGAACAGTAGGTCGAGGGAAGTGCTTCTGCCCCTCTACTCTGCTCTCGTGAGACCCCACCTGGAGTACTGCATCTAGCTCTGGGGCCCCCAACACAAAAAAGACTTGGACCTGTTGGAGTGAGTTCAGAGGAGGGCCACGAAGATGGTCAGAGGACATATGAGGACAGGCTGAGAGAGTTGGGGTTGTTCAGCCTGGAGAAAAGAAGGCTCTGGGGAGATTTTATTGCAGCCCTCCAGTGCCTGAAGGGGGCCCACAGGAGAGATGGGGAGGCACTCTTTATCAGGGGGTATAGTGAGAGCATGAGGGGTAATGGTTATAAGCTGAAAGAGGGTAGATTTAGATTAGATATTAAAAAGAAATATTTTACTGTGAGGGTGGTGAGACACTGGAACAGGTTGTAGATGCCCAATCCCTCGAAGTGTTCAAGGCCAGGCTGACTGAGGCTTTGAGCAACCTGGTCTAGTGGAATGTGTCCCTGCCCATGGCAGGTGGGTTGGAACTGGATGGTTTCTATGGCCCCCTCTAACTGAAATCAGTCTATGATTCTATGATTCTATGTTCTTATGTGTTTTAATCTATATGTTAAAATAAGATTCAAGGAAGTTCCAACTAATGTAATGCCTTTCAAAGAATACATGCCTAATGATTTCTAAGCTGTGGCTAGTCTGATGGGGCTTGCTTTCAGCGTGACTTAGGTCAAGCCCCAGAACAACAAGGGTCACCTTTCAGCACTCTTAAATTTGGAGCTATTTAATGTCTGAGTTTCTAGTCCTATCAAAACTCTGAAGTCTGAATTCAGAGTTTAATCTACCTAATCTTTGGGTCAGCCTCATTCAGAAGGCAGGTTTCACAAGGGAGGTGCTGATGTGCTGGGCAGTCAGACCAGCAACAGGAAGACAGGAGCTCAGATATAGCAAGGGAGGGTACACTGAGGGCACACTGCCTACCAGCTGAGGCATCTGGCTTTACACACAGAAAAGAAACAACCCAGAAAAAACAATAAAAACGCAATGATTCTAAATATTTCCAAGAAAATGTCAAAATGTGTTTTTAAAGTCTGTACTACACAAGAACACTTCAACTTCTATGTTCTGAGGGCATGATAATACACAGCCTGACAATTTCAGTGGCACACCAGATCTGTGCAGTGAAAATGAGACCAGGACTGCCCAGGACATATATCGATAAAGGACATCTGCTAGCCTTAGAGTACCCTGTGGACTTGTAAATGAAATTTGAGTGTTCCCTTTGGTAAAAATAGCAACTTACAGCAGGTGGAAATTTTGATACAAACTCCTAAGGATTGTCCCAACCCACCACTTTGCAATGCAGTCTAACTTACACATTTATCTGGCACTTTCAGTGAATATAGCACAAGTTGGGATGTGAACTACTCGCTTGATGACAATTTTTCCCTTTTCTCTAAATTAAGATGATGCACTAGAGCTCACCTGTAACTTCTGGGTCAGAGAATCCCTCTGTGCCTGGAGCTCTCTGGCATTGTCGATTTCTTGTTTCAATCCTTCTATTTCCTAAGGGAGAAGAAACAACCTTGCAGAATTATACCAGAACTGGCACTTGGCCACTGCCCATCACAGCACATGAAGTTTAAGCCCTGCTCTCAACACTCCTGAATCACAGTGCTAAAACAGCAACTCCACTGCACATAAACAATACAGATAAGCATTTTCTTTTATAAATATCCAAGTTTTCCTCTCCCACACAAAAGATCTGAAATAATTTTTTCCTGGAAAATTAAGAGTCCCTCTTGTAATTAGAGAAACAATTTTACACTTGAAATTCTATTAGAATGTACCCCTCTCCATTTTTTCAAGAGAAAAATCAAATTTTCATCTGTGAGCTGCTTATTATGTCACTAGCAGCAGGGCTGAGCATCAAAACACTCCCTGCTTTGACCACTGATTCTGTAAAAAGAGAGTCTAAAAGCAATGGTGTCTTTAATTTAGCAAGAAGAAAGTAATAATGTATAAAAGTAACAAATATGGATAAAATAATGAATGGAAGAGAAACCTCTCCTTAGCTTACTTTCAGGAGACAAGAACAGAAACAGCTAATGAAACTAAAGGCCGTCAAATGGAAGACTATTAAGTACTTTTCCTTGGAAGGGCATATTCACCTCCTAGAACTCCTTTTGGAACGATCGCTTGGCAGCCAACAGCTCAGCATAATTCAAAGTGCATGGGAACCAAAATAGGAAACATTACCAACCTGAGGCTAACCTCTTAAGTATGAGGGAGTTTGGAAAGGTTTTGTTCCATTTTGGGAGGGTACTCTGTAACTACTGTGACAATCCTGCATCCTCCTTGGAAACACCTCACAACTGCTCTGCTGAAGGCACCCTGCAAGACACATTGCCCCTCTGAACGTGCACACCAGTGCCCCTTGAGTCTGTCACAGAGGGCTCTGGTCTTACATGAGGCAAATAATCCTTCACACGCAGGTCCTTTCACTTCCTTTTTCCCATCAATAAAGAGGAGGTACTTGATCATTCTGTAGCACAAATCTGCCTTTCTCTAGGACCCATGCTAGTGCAGTGTTACTCCAATTCCTTTTATTTTCTTGTTGTTGGTCCAGTCCAAGGCAGATGGCACAGTAAATATCATCAAGTTTCAGGCTGGGGGCTTGGCATGCGTTTAAGGAAAGGGTTGAGCTCAGGGATCATAAAAGTCAGTTATATTAACATAGCCTGTAAAACGGATTGGCCTGAAAAAGGCATTCATCTATTACTTGTTCCAAACCCTACTCTCCAGAAAAAGGAAAGCATGCTTACAACAGCTTCCCTTCTTTGAATTTGGACTGCATCAGTGTGCTGACTGCTCTGTGGAAACACTTACAAATTACTTCGCAAACAGAGATGCTTGGTAAAAGCAAACAGGAAAACATGATACTTTTTTTTGTTGTTCAAATACCCACCTCTATACTGGACTGGTGCAATTACATACACAAAAATATTAATCATTTCAAAGAAGCTGAAAAAAAATTTACTTCAGAACATCTATAGGAAATAACACAGCATTTACCAGCTGTCACAAGTTTAATATTGAAAGCCTTTAGAAATGATATAACGGAAAACCCAAGAACAAATGCTAGCAAATACCTCTTCTTTTTTCTTCAGCATAGATTCTAACTCCTGTATTGTCTGGTTTAATTCTGTTTTATGTGTGTGGACTGCATTGGCTTGACTGCTCACACACTCTAGCTCAGTCACCTGTTGAAATAAGCAACACAGACAGAATTAATTTCAACAAATTCAAGGTACTATTACTACTTTGCATCAATAGCTGCATTTCAAATATACTCTTAGTTCCAGGTGACTTATGCTGATTAAAATGATCAAAGTGTTCTTATGAAGTTAGCATAAAATTGTTGCTATGACCTTTTGGAAACAACAAATTTAATATGCTGCAGGCTGAAAATAACATTAATTAGAAGTTATACTTACTAATTATTGAAAATTTTATGAAAGAAGCTGAATTACCATTTCAGACACAGTAATGGCTAGATGATTAAACACGGATCTGTCTGTATACTTAACCTGTCCATCTGACACTTTTTAATATTGCACCATCTTATCCAACTAAGCCACGATGCTCACCCACTTCCTAGTAAGCCAATCAACATTTCACAGCCTCAATTTTTGACTCACCATCAACAGTGTAATAGCAGACACGCAGCCACCAACGTACAGCTGCCAACTTCTTACTTCCTCTAGTTTCAGATCTCATTTCTCATTTCTCTCATTTCTCTGGCTCTCTAAAGCCAACAGCTAATAGAACAATTTGGATTTGCACAGTTCTTATTAGCAGACAGCAAACACTCTCCATCTGCCCCTGGATAAGTTAAGATATCTGGCAGTAGTATGCCTTTTAAATTTTATTGTTCAATCAAAGAGATGTTAATATCCTGCCATTTACAAATAAAGTTGTCAAAAAGTAGCTTCTTAACTGAAGAAATAAAATACACGCAGCCTTTGCTCATGTACCTCTCCAACTACAGATCAAAATATTACAGAACTCACACTGCATGTCTGCACGGATGTGTGCACTAAAATCTTTAATAACAAACTGTTAATATATTAAAAATACTATTATTAGTATTAGGTTAAAACCTAATAACTTTTTTTTCCAATAGATATTTGCCTGTCAATCTTAGTGTACAGTCTTCCACAGAGCTGCACCGTCTACCTACAATAACTAACAAATTTGACCCAAAACCTCCTTTGAACAAAGTGCTACACAATTCTGCAACAAAAACCTTTAGGTCTCCATTTAACTTTCTTGGAGTGGTAGCCCTCAGACAGAGGGCAGGCATTCTCCAGGACAACTTTATTTCTTAGATAAAAGAACATCTTGAGGAATCAAGTTTGGTGCCCTGCAGCATCCCTACAGTCTAGCCAGTGAAGACACTGTGTGTGATGCCAGTAATTTCAGACTCAAAAGGTAGGTTACTGAGTGCAGAGGGAAGTCAAAGGACAGACAAGATGAAATATAAGAAAATCAAAACAAAATCCTTATCAACTTCTCCTTTCTGAGCCACAGGGCATGAACTTCCCCTCTGCAACAGCCATGACGGGTCTAGTTTCACAGAATCACAGAATCACAGACTGTTAGAGACTGGAAGGGACCTCGAAAGATCATCTAGTCCAATCCCCATGCCAGAGCAGGAACACCTAGATCAGATCACACAGGAACGCATCCAGGCGGACTTTGAATGTCTCCAAAGAAGGAGACTCCACAACCTCTCTGGGCAGTCTCTTCCAGTGCTCTGTCACCCTCACCGTGAAGAAGTTTTTTCTCATATTCAAGTGGAACCTCCTATGTTCCAGCTTGCACCCATTGCCCCTTGTCCTATCACTGGATGTCACAGAGAAGAGCCTGGCTTCATCCTCCTGACACTCACCCTTTACATATTTATAAACATTGACTAGGTCACCCCTCAGTCTCCTCTTTTCCAGACTAAAGAGACCCAGCTCCCTCAGCCTTTCCTCATAAGGGAGATGCTCCATTCCCTTCATCATCTTTGTGGCTCTGCGCTGGACTTGCTCCAGCAGTTCCCTGTCCCTCTTGAACTGAGGGGCCCAGAACTGGACACAATATTCCAGATGCGGTCTCACCAGGGCAGAGTAGAGGGGGCGGAGAACCTCTGAGTTTCTTCCACTGGAAAACTGTGATTAGACATTTTTGCAAATTAGGCTTACAAATGGAGAGAACTGAGATTACAGCAATTTCTTGGGAGGGGCAAAGGGAATAAGGGATGAGGATGTAGCTTCGTAACACAACACCCCACTCCGAAGAGCTATCTTATTTGCTGGAATTGTCAGTGCTCATAGCAAAAAGTAATAGCAGTTTGCTCACTTTATATGCCACTGAGCATTACCAGTGAAGTCTTAGATAATTTTCTCAATTTGCTTCAATTACACAAAAATATATCTGTTTAGATTCCTTGTGACTGCTACCAATGGCGACTGTTACGGTATTCACCACTACAGTTACACAAACACAAACAAGCAGAATTGGAACACACTAACTAGGATAAACCTATGCCTACACAGTGTCTGAACTAATATCTAGATACAGCAAGAATCACAGAGGTACAGAGTAATTTAGGCTGGAAGGGGACCCTGGTCATTGTTTGGCTGAGGCACCCTGCTCAAACTAGGGCCAACTCTGAAGTCATATTTAGTTGCTCAGGGTCTTGCCCAGTTGAGAACACTTCACTATTAGCAGAGCTGCCACAGCTTTACACAGGTTCCTGTACATCTGACACTGGGGGTTTATGCAGGGCTCCAGCTCATTCCTAAATTTTCCTGGAACTGTCAAACTCACTCACCTCATTCACCCTTTCACCCCTTCTGATGTTTAACTTCTTAAACACTTCCAAGCTTTTCTGCTGAACTGAGTCTTGACTTGGAGATGGAAGCCTCTGTGAACCCAGGGCTAAGTTGTGAGGGGAACCCACAGTCAGGTCCTCGCCCACCTCTTGTGAAAGACCACAGCTTCATATGGTAACTGCCAAGAAGGTCCATCTCTCTCTTAAAGCTGTGGCACTCAGCAATGCCCACTGGCTCTTACTGAGCACTGGCACAGTGAATCCTCATTTACACAAACTGTAAGAGCTTCCACTGGAGAGACAGAAGAAAGCTAGCCCGCAAAGCACCTCTGTCCTAGCACTGAGTGCCGCGGAAACCAGTGTGCAGAGGTGTCTCATCCTGTGGCTAAGGAAACGCTGGGATGCCCACCGTGCTCCACATGGTTTCCTCTGGGCTGTACACGCGGCAAGCACACATGTATTGGTGCAAGCCTGAAATCCAACGAGGCTGGTGGACTGAACTGCAGTGAATGAAATGTTACTGCTCTCTGCTGCATGTATTGCTGCTGGCTGAGAACACTCTGTTTTCAACACCTCCCCCCACAGCCCTGCCTGCTGCATGGCTCACCTGAACACTCCCTAGTACACCCTGCTCCATACTAACTCAAGACACCTATTGAAGTTGCTTAAGCAAACGCTGCTAATTTTGCTTAAGCAGAGCAGGGACTGCTCTCACAAACCCTCCTGCCAACAGAGGCAACTGCTGTCAACAGGGCAATTAATTACCCCCACTAAATGGACTGTGACGTCTTACCCTGGTCCAGCTTTCGTCTGGGCAAACATCCATCTCTTACTGCTTATGCAAGAAAAGAATGCATTGTTCTACTGTTTTGTTTATTACTTGTTGAAAAATCAGTAAGTTGGAAATAAAAGAACAAATTCAATTAAAAAAATGGGTTTACTTTAATTGCAATCTTATTTAAATGCCCATTCATACAGAGATCTGAAAATATCTTAATGACATTATCTTCTTGAATGCACCTATAAAGAAGAAAATCATAATGTGACCCTTTCAAAAAAATCTGTGGAGTAAAAAGGGCTGGAACATGATGTAATATAAAGAATATGCAATTGAGAACAGAAGTAATGAAAGATAAAGCTCTAGGCAAAAATCTGGATAGCATTTACTTGCTCCATTTCCTTGTTTCAAATTGAATTCATTTTTCTCATGACCAGTGGTCCAAAAATCATTAAAAATAACTGTTTATGTATTATGCACAGAAGCGGGCACAAAAGGAAGCTAAAATGCTTTAGTCTGACCCTTCCTCGTGCTATTTTCAGGGACATCTCCTCATTCAGTGTTGCATGTTTAAGGGTAGGGATCAATCAATCATTCAAGCCTTTGCACAGTAACACTGAGCAAATGTACCTGTGATTAAGCCTTGATTCCAGCAGAGAATTCAGACTGAAAGAACAATCTTTCAACAATAACTGACTAAACAAGGTTCTTCTATTGTGCTATCATAAGACTGCACTGACTTGCATATCTGAAAAAGAGTCAATACTGTGGCTTCATATTTGAGACTGAAAGAATATTGTCCTTAGCCTCTGCTTCTTCATTTTGCATTTACCATCCTGGTAAGGATTGCACGTAAGAAAAAAAATTCTGAAGGGGCTTTTTAGTGACTATTTAATGAGCTAACTCTTCTAGCATACGGCTGTCATTATACTTAACTTCATACTTCAGTGAGATATAAATCAGCTGAAATAAAACAGTAAGGTAACTTGCTCTGGCAGAGCCTAGACCTCAGCAGAGGCCATTTCACAGTTTTCTGGAAATTCTGGTCTAGGGTCAACAGCCTATAAACAGAGGAGATGCCAGGCAGAAGTTTTCATTGCAGTATACAGCTAGAACACACTGGGCTGCTGGGAAGACTGGAAGAGCAAGGCTTTGGGCCACGCAATACAATGAAGAGTAACAGCCTTGATGGGAGCTTCAGACAGTGGCCGCCCAAAGCTTCAGGAGACTGAAGAATCTCTCAAAGAAAACAAACAAAATCAAATCACAAAGAAACCAAGAGACGAGACCGCAACAGCTACTTCACAAGTAAAGACTTCAGTTAGAAAGAGGGAATGACAGAAATATTTTGAGTGGTCATCACCTTCCCCAAGCAATTATTGACTGAATGAACCTGCAGTATGCTTGCTGCAGGTTGATTCATTTTTCAAACCACTTTCTTGGGATTAAATTTGTACACTTCTGATCTCAAACAATAGTTTTTATCCAGCATCTTAAATTCAGTACCAACAGATCATTAAATTCTGTCTAAACTTCACACAGAAAGTACTTCAACTGCTACAAAAATTCAAAGAAAGACAGATCAGAACATATTTTCAGTG